CCTGTGGGGACAAAAATATGGGTGTTAAATTTGTTATGTGGCACCGGCTCTGAGTATATTAGCGACATTGGTTAAGAAGAAGATCTGAATTTCCTGGTTTAATGTTCTTCCACGGCGCTCTGTTATAAGACCATTAGGTTATTTTGGAAGAAAAATCAAGTAATTTGCACAGCAAGAAGCCAGCCACTTTATTGGCCAGTTCATAATGGCTAAATTACTCGGCCTGCAGCCATCCGTTATAACTGGTAATAGAAAGTTGCATGGTCAAAAGCATGGCTTTAACCTCTAGTATTTACCCAGGAATAATTTACCTAGGAATAAAGTGGTTTTCCAATATCACGTGTTGGCTACCAAAAAATAGTAAGGTTGTACTTAAGGTACAGCATAGGTACAACAATTTTAATGTTGTACCTATACCTACGACAGAAATTTTTCAAAACTAAATTGTCTGACTTTAAAAACTATTTAAAAGCTAAACTACTTAAAAGCTAATATTTTTTTTAAGTTTTTAAAACTCAAGGAAAAAAAAAATGAGTTTAGCTAATCAAATTGGCTAAACTTATCTTTTTTTCTTTCTTGAAGTATTTACATATATAATCATAATGGTTGCACGAAGCAAAATCGTCTTATTTCGCTTTATATACTTCAGATAAATCTGCCATCTTTTTGAAGCAGTTAGCCCATCACTTGTTAGGTTCTTTACATAAAGTACAACTTTTTCAGGTACTTAGTATGGTATAAAAATGTTTCGCAAGCTTTTACTTTAGGAAATGCAAAACCTTTTTGATTTATCTTCAACTCCGTTTAGTTATGGAATTCCTAAATTTAAAGATTGTGCTTATAATTTTGTGCAAAAATCAAAATCCTCGATTTTATCTCGATTCACTAATTGGTTATAAGAATAGTCAAGAATATTGCAGATTAAAATTAGAATATTACAAAACAATATTCGTTTATTTACTTTTTATTTATCTAAATATATTTATAATATATTTGTACAAATTGTTTTCTTAAATTTGTATTTCTAGAAAATATAGATATTTATTTATATACAGTATCGGACAAAACAAGTGCAACCAAACAATACTAATTTAGTTTCTTTATATAAAAGTGATGCATTTTTTAATTTAGAAAAATAACTATGTAACTGTTTAGTCATCACAAAGTTCATTATTTGTACACGAAAATTAATAAATTAATTAAAAGTATTAAAAAAAATTGATTTCCTTCTGGACAAAACAAGTGCAATTCCACAAAATGTTGACCAAGCTGTATTTCGTAATCAATATTTATTTTATTTTTTTTTTTTTTGTTGATTAAGGTGCCCCAAGAAGTCCTTACAGTCTTATCACAGAGCACCGCGGAAAAGCATTTAATAGGAAGTTCACGCCTCCTTCCCAACCGATGTCGCAAAACTTGCCCAGTGGTGGGGTTTGAACCAGGGATCTTACGTTTCTGAGGCAAGTGCGTTACCACTGCGCCATAGCTGCATTCAATATTTCGTGGCAAATCCTTTGTTGTTGATCACAGCCTTGCATCTTAGAGACATAGATTCGATCAGATGATCAATGAAACTTTGTGGAAACACTGCCCAGGCCTTTTGGATTTGTTCAAACAGTTGATCCTTATTACGAACACTTTCACAATTAATTCTGCGGTTGACAATCTCCTACAGGTTCTCAATAGGGTTGAGATCCGGAGATTGAGGCGGCCAATCCATCACCAATAGGTGGTTGTCTTAAAACCACTGCTTGACTACTTTTGCAGTGTGTTTCGGATCGTTGTCTTGCTGAAAACCCATTTTATTGGCATATTCCATTCAGCATGAAGTAACAATATCTTTCAGGATGTTTTTATACATGAAACAATCCATTATTTTATCAATTCGATGTATTGGACCTAGACCGTAAGCAGAAAAACACCTCCAGACCATTACATTGCCTCCACCATGCTTCACGGTCTTATGGCAGTAACGTAAATCGAGGCGTTTTCCGGCCGGTCGACGTACACGGCAAATGCCATCGCTCCCGATGATGTTGAACTTCGATTCATCACTGGATGATTTAACAGGACAGTTCGCCATTTCAGCACATTCCAGTCAATATGAGATGTAGCAAACAGGAGTCTTTTCTTCTGGTTCTTTAGTAAAATCAGCGGTTTCTTTGCAGGGTGTCGAGAAAACAATCCGGCTTCAACAGCACATCGTCTGATTGTTCGGTCCGATACTGGCAGCTTTAATTGCTTTTTTATCTTGACTGATGATATCCATGAATCCTTTTTGACGGATCTGACGATCATAGAATCCTCTCTAGAAGAGGTGGAACGCGGTCTTCCGCTTTGTTATCTGCTGCCAACTTCCCCGTAGAACGATATTTGGAACATAGTCTTGATGCGGTCCACTTTTTCATGCGATATTTATCACAAATACGTTTTGTGACATTCCACTTACGTAATCGCCAATAATTTTCTTTCTTAGTTCCAATTCAAGACTGTTGGGAGCCATTTTTGCACTTGAAGTCATAAAGAAGTCAGAAGAAGCATCTGGATGCTTCCAGATGCTTCTTCTGGAATTTTCTGGAAGCTTCTGCGTGCTTCTGGAAACTTCTGGATACTTCTTTTAATTATTAAAAAACTTCCGTGACGTTGAAACGCACCAGACATAAGAAAATGAAACAAACCAAAAAAGTTGCACTTGTTTTGTCCGCTGCAAAATGGCACTTGTCAACGAAATTCTGCCTGTGTGCTGTCAGCTGTCAGCTGATTGCTCATGTCATGGATTGCTATGACTCCAGACTCCTGAACTGTTTTCTGTGGTAGTATAGTTTGTTTCGTTTTTAAGACATGTAAAATTAGGAACACTTTTTAGCATTGTTTGATGTTGGTTGCAAATGTTTTATCCAATACTGTATTTATTGTTTATATATTTTGGTATCTTTTCTATATTTATCTATAGATATTTATTTATATATTTTATCTATAAATTTTTATTATTAAGGTACTCAAAAAAGTCCCAACGGTTTTATCACAGAGAAACGCAACATGGAGTTCAGCATTTAATAGATTGACTCTCTGTGTTCCAACCTTACCGAAAGCGTTTTTGTGTCGATGCGGAAATCTAACCCAAGACTTAGCGGTCTGAATTGAAATGCTTGATCATTACTCTACGGCTGCTAGTTTACGTCTAAACTTTAAGTCTACAGTTTCAAAGATCAGAACCTTAAAAATATTGCTGGAATATAAAATTTTTAATAACATTCCCACTTGTTGCTATGCAACCACTAACGTTAACTAATTCATGCCAGGCATTTAGGGCTTGAAAAGACATTTTTAGATGTTTTTGAAATTTTTTTAAACGCAATTTTTACCATATCTATTCAATGGCTGGGTTAACCAAATGTATAATATCCGTTTCGTTTGTTGCGATGCTGTTTTTGGTATATATAGCAACATCTTTTCCTCTTTTTTATTATAAATAAAAAAGTATATATATTTTAACAAATTTTTCGTTTTTAAGAGTTTAAATAATCATTAAGGAAAGAAATTGCAACGTTAGTATAAATTGTAACTCAAAAATAAAAATGTCTTCACTCTCGTTCTAGTGTGTTCTAGGTGCGCGAAAATGTTAAAATTTGCCCCAACCTGGGACAGCCTTAAATTTGCATGAGGAAGCTTTAAATCGTCATTGTTAAATTAAAATAACGTCAATTAAACAAACTTTTTTAATTACCTAAGGTAATTTTAAAACATATTTATTCCGTTCCACTTCACCTACATACATATTAAACTTCAAATACATACATATCGGTTTACAGAAAAGAGACTAGATTTTTTTCATTTGATTGTTTCGTATCTTCCATTTTTAAGCACTTAATGTTAATATCACATTATCAAGTTAGCTCCTTTTTTTTTTAAATTTTATTATTAATTAGCTTGATATTATTTTAATTCTCAGAAGAAAAAAATTTTTCATGCAAGCGCCCATAGATTGCATAGCGCCCATTACATCCTATAGGTGCGCCACCACATCAGTCATTCTTTCTGTTCAAATCAGTAGTACAAAACGAAGGAATCACTAAGTAATCACTAACAAAGATGTTGAATAATTATTAGTTAAAGATTATATTTATTTAACAAGCAAAATCAGTTTTGATTAAATTATTTTTCTTATCAGTTTGAACTTTTACTTTAAGGTTTTGCTTAAGCTTTCAAAATATCTTGTTTTGTAATAACAAACTTTTTAACTTTTACGCTCTTCATTCTTCTCCGTTTGTGTTTTTGCGCTTTTGCAGTTTTTCGCTTGCCCAAACGCTAGCCAATAGTTAGTGCTTCTTTTAGCGCTTGCCAATAAATTTCAAGCGTGTTTTTAAATTGCAATAAATCTTTTTTCTTAATTAAACATTAATTAAAGAGGTACAAAAAACAAACAGTTTTTAAAATCGCGCACGCGCACGCCAGACAAATAATTCTGTCCGGTAAGAGCCTTTTTGTGCGCTGGTGGTAAATTTCAAACAAGAAGACTGGCTCTTATATTCCTTAAACAAATATTCAAAGGTTCATTTTCAAAACTGCCCTAATCGCGTCTTAGAAATTAAATGACTATTTATGAAAACAAAATAACTTTTTTTAATGAAATGTTTTGCTTCACTGTAAGAAGAATAAAATATTCTATATAAAAAATAACATAAAGTTCACGACTTTTTAAAAATATGGTGACAATTTTTATCCAAATGTTTTAAATTTGTACTCAAAAACATAAAAATAGTCTAGTTTTTTCATTTTATATCAAATGGCATCATATTCAAGTGACAGATGTGAGGATAGGTAATGTTTTCATAAAATAACTCTCTATACTTGATTTAAATACATGCGCTCCTCACAAATGCACATTTTCGAAGCTGCCCACGTTTAAAGTATAAAAATATGTAAATATTAGCAAACAATAATAAAAGAAATAATAAAGTAAACAAAGAAATGCGATCTCTTTTATTAGGTTTAAATTGATTTATAGTTTAGAAAAAAATGAAAAATGCTTGGTCAACATGAATTTTTTCGACAAAAGGAACCTGACTTTAGTAAAGGTATTTTTATGTGTTTTATTTCTTAATATTCATCTTTGTTTACGTTTCACATACACGTACACATAAATACAAATGTATAATATTGTATATATATATATATATATATATATATATATATATATATATATATATATATATATATATATATATATATATATATATATATATATATATATATAATTAGTTAAGAAATTAGTTCGCGTTAGTGAATGTTTGAGTTATCGGGAGCATAATCCTTAAATAAAGGTTCAACGGGGTTTCAAAATTAGTTCAAGTTACTGGAAGTTCGAATTATCGAGGGTTTGATATATCGGGAGTTTACTGTATATATATATATATATATATATATATATATATATATATATATATATATATATATATATATATATATATATATATATATATATATATATATATATATATATATATATATATATATATATATATATATATATATATATATATATATATATATGAACCAAGCCTTCTCAAATTAATAGACTCAAAAAAGAATTTTTTTCTTTTTGCATTTTCTTTGATAGGTATGGGTTATTGCTGTTTACTTTTTGTTGTTTATGTGCAATTTTAACTTTCTGTCATTCATTTTTTATTTTAGATAGAAACATTTATAAAATACAGATATTTTTAAGTAATATTGTCAACTTTATAAAAGGTATGGTAAATTTTAATACTAAAATACTAATAAAAATATTCTAAACTCAAAATGGGGGTCAAATTAGTAGCACAGAGAGCAGGCTCCTGTGGCCAAAAAAGAATAATAAGTGCTTAAGTTAACGAACAAAATTGCATGATGCCAGCAATAAAATGAAAAGCGTTTTGAAAGACCAAGGAACCAACATTTCACTTGGATTTTTAGGGAGAAGTTACGATATAGGATTCAAGTGTAGAAAGCTATTGAAGAAGCAGAAACTTACGCCTGAGTTGATTAAAAAAGGTCTTGCTGTGTCCAGGAAGAACTTATCTTTTTCACAATACAACTGGAATAAAGTAAATTTTTTATTTCTTCTGAAACTTAAATTTTAATATTTTATTATTACATGTTTTTAGATAATAATGCAAAAGACATTTTTGCAATACTTTATAGTTATATATGATGCTACTAACATTTGAAACATTATTATTTATTTAAAAATTATTTATTGCTTTTTTCAGGTTGTATTCAACAATGAATCTACCTTTAAGACGTTGGAAGACAAAGCCACATTTGTCTGCCATAGACAAAGAAAACACCAGAAACCAAAACGCATTGTAAAGATTTATAGTATTAGCATCCATAATAATTTGGTCATGCATATAAAGCATGGGTAGCGGTCGTCTTTGCATTGTACAAGGGACGATGAAACAAGATTAGTAACAGACTGTACTGCAAAATTCCCTGATTCCACAGGTACGAGAGTGGTTAATGAAAAAATGGTTTATATGCAAGATAGTGCTCCATGTCATACTTCAAAATCTATAAAGATTTTGAAGTATGACATGGAGTCATGTCATACTTTAAAATCTTTATAGATTTTGAAGTATGACATGATATTTACTATAATGGATGCCATTTATATTTACTATAATGGATATCCATTATTACTATATATTTACTATAATTGATGCCATTTGCATGGCATCCATTATAGTAAATTCCTTTTCCGTATTTTACTATAATGGATGCCATGCAAATGTTTATTGTTGCGTGGGGGAAGGTAAAGACCGAAACTATTTGCAATTGTTTTGCTAGAGCTGGAATTTCAGAAAAAATGTGTTTTGATGCCTTGGTAGATGTAGATGATCCTTTTTAGGATCTCAAAGACCATTTAGAAAAGCTAGCTGTTTATTCATCAGGGTTTCCTGAAAGAACAAGAGCAAAAGATGTCGTTTCCATAGATGATTTTGTCAACACTGCCGAGCCGATAATGAATGATGTGGAGATTATATCAGACGTTTTAGGAGAAGAAAATTTTGAGGTTGTAAAAGATTAAGATAGTGATGTAAATTTTTTGATTGAACCAACTTACCCTCAATCGGGTAATGTACGTAAAGTCCTGGAAGTACTACGAAGCTACAAGATATTCAGTGACAATGGGGAGTGTATTCATAAATGTATAAACCAAATAAACTTAATTGTAAAAAAAGAATTATCAGAGAAGCTAATACAAGCGGATATACATATATATATATATTTTTATATATATTTTTATATATATTATATATATATATTTATATATATATATTATACATATATATATATATATATATTTTTGTAGCTTCTTTCGCTGAATTTTTTTCACGTTTTTTATTACTATAGTATTGTAAATTTAATGTTTATACTTTAGCATTGAATAAATAAAAATCGCCTTAATTCGAACTAATATCTCATTTCTGTCAAAGTTCGACTTAGCGGGACTTCGCTTAAGTCAAACATTCGTTAAGTCAAACCATTTTTCTTGATCCCTTGGAGGTTCGAGTTATATATATATATATATATATATATATATATATATATATATATATATATATATATATATATATATATATATATATATATATATATATATATATATATATATATATATATATAGCTTCTTTAGTATATATATATATATATATATTAGTATATATATTTATATTTAGAATATATATATATATATATATATATAGCTTTCTTGTAGCTTCTTTCGCTGAATTTTTTTCACGTTTTTTATTACTATAGTATTGTAAATTTAATGTTTATACTTTAGCATTGAATAAATAAAAATCGCCTTAATTCGAACTAATATCTCATTTCTGTCAAAGTTCGACTTATATATATATATATATATATATATATATATATATATATATATATATATATATATATATATATATATATATATATATATATATATATATATATATATATATATATATATATATATATATATATATATATATATATATATATATAAAATATATATATATATATATATATATATATATATATATATATATATATATATATATATATATATATATATATATATATATATAAATATATATATATATATATATATATATATATATATATATATATATATATATATATATATATATATATATATATATATATATATATATATATATATATATATATATATATATATATATATATATATATATATGTATATATATATATATTCTTGACATATGATATTTTGTAAATGAAATTATAAAGCCATCCAAAACGTAGTCGCGCTCTACGACAGTAACGTCAAAGTCAGGTAGTAAAGTGACATACTTTAACAACAAATATGAAAAAAAATATTATCTATGGTATACATATATATAGAAAAGAGTGTGTGTGTATGTGTGTGCTTGTGTTTGTGATTCAATCGTCACAGCATAAATTTTTTATTTATTTTAGATTTCTGACATTTAAAGTAATTAAATGGATGATTTTTAACTGTCATGTATTTTATCTGTCGTGTATAAAAACTCTAAACCTTTTATAGATCCGGGGAAAAACAAAATTACCGTTGCAACTTCAGAAGCGAATGGTCATACTTTCGAAGTGTTAAACAGTGATTCATTATTTAGCCATAATCCAAGAAAAAGTAACAATTCTATTATTAAAGTTCAGCAGTATGCTCAACATCGAATAAATTATAAAAAAACAACAATCGAAACTAATAGCTTGCAAGATACTTTTATTGAAGAGATAAAACAACAGGTTAAAGATTATAGTAGAGAGCAAATAAAATTTAAAGTAAAGCCCCCAAAAAAGACTGGTACAAATACAGGACTACTTTATGAACAAAAAATATATAAGTTAGAAAGAAAAGTTGATCGCGAATGTTTATCTCAAAGCGATATAGAGCATTTAGTGAAATACACGGAAACTGGATTAGGTACCAAAATAATTGACGCGCTAAGTATTCCATTAATTCCTCTTAAATGGGCTCTGAATGATTACTCTAAAATTACATCATGGGGAAATCTAGAAAACAAAATACCTTTGTATTCAATGCAAGTTTTAGCGTATGCGATTGAAAAAGGACAATGCGAGTTAGTAATGAAGGTGCATGACGAAATTATTAATTCACTTAATCAGCGAGTTAAATTAACATTGGGCAATATTCCTCTTATAGATAAATTTATAAAATTATTAGATTCGCCATTAAAAAATACAGCTGCTATTGCTCTTGGTTACTTGGTAACGCAAAATGATAAGTTTAATGATGCTGTTTTTATTGTCAAAAATAAACTTAGAGAACTAATAACGCTTCCATGTACTATTTACGGAAGTAGTATTGATAAGAACACTTACCAATATATTAACTATCGTGAAATATCTTTTTTGGAATTAAGACTCAGAGCTATGATGAGTCTTGCCACAATGGCAAAAAATAGATTTGAACTCCCGGAAGAACTATACAAATTAGTTAAAGAAACTCTAAATAAAGTAGAAGAAAATCCGTATTTTTTCTTGCCTACGAGATATAAAGAGGTGAACCAACATTTAGGCCAGAAAAATCATCGTTCAATATGGAACCGGTTTACTAATCTAGAGGAAGCAGTAAATAGCGGAGAATTATTATCTGAAGAGGATTTCGATTATTTGCATGAACAGTTATTAATTAGTAACCAGAAAAACATGAAGCAAAAAGTAGAAATAAAAATTAAAGTCTTAAGAATCTTTTTAAAGACATCCGTAATAAATAATCAAAGAAATAACGAGATTCATAAAAAGTTTTTAGGAATTATTACAAAACATCTTGATGAAGAGGACGAAGAAACAAAAAAACTAGCATTTCTGTGTTTATGCCATTTTGATCTAGAGCAACCACTTGCAAAAGATTTTAAACTTGTCTTTTTAAAGAAAGGATTAGAGAAAAGCAATGATATTCTTATTGTGCCTTTATCAAGGTTACGCGGATCAAATGAGCAAACACGGTACCAAATAAATGAACAGGTTAAAAAGGATATAGAATATAGAGACTTGGCGATTTATAGTTTAACAAGATTTATAGAAAACAATAAAAATATTTCTGAAGAATTTCAACTATATCAACGCTTTGAGGAAGTGTTTGCACGAATCAAGACAGCTGCGATTTGCACATTTAGCGATTACGTATACTTTCATGCTCTAAATTCACCAAAGATAGAAAAATCTTTAGTAAAAAACCTGCAAGATTATCAAACCTTCAATAATGATAAATTAAGAAAAGCTGCTAATAATGCAATTTTATCAATTGTTTCAAACATTGATCGGTATCCTGAATTACAATCATTGCTTTCGTTAAATAATCTCGAGGATTTGATTTGCAGCAAAGATCCACAAACCAAATGTGAAATTTGTTACGCTTTTGCTCAGTTTGCATACAATAAACAATACATAACCAACAAAGCACTTGGAAACTTATTCAACGCAATTACTCAATTAGACGAAAATAATCTTTGGCTCATCAAAGCTAAGGGTTATTCAATTCAAGGAGTTGCACATGTGATAAAACAATTTACAGAGCAGGAAAAGCAAGTTCAGGATCTACCTCTGATTGAAGTCATATTTATAGAACACCTTTTTTCCTATTTAAGCAATAAAGACTATCAAGATCAAGTAATTTTTTGTTTATTGCAATTTTCAAAACTGTTTTCATTTAATGTAACTCCTGAGACCAAAATAATTGAAGAGAGTAAAAGAAACATTAAGTCCGTTTTTGAGCGGAAACTAGGTGAGTATACCAAGCATCCTATATCAAATTTATTTTCGAGTGCTTGTGATAGCTTAGGATATATTATTAGTACCTTGAATAATTTAGCTAAAGCTAGATTTACACTAGATTATAAGGTTACAGATTTAGTTTCAAAATCAATAATATTAAAAGAAAACCGTAATATTCAATCGGAGGCAATAGCAACTTTAGGCAATGCTGCAGCAAATCCACAAAACCCAGGCTTCTCTGATATTACCTTGGAAAACTTAATAAGGGCATTTTCAGATGTAGACCAAATTAATCAAGACAACATCAGAGCGACGCTGAAAATTTATCTCTCAATTGGAATAGAAACTAGAAAACTTTCGGATTCTATGATAACGAAATTTAGTTGGTACCTACATGATAATCATAGCGCATTAAATTCTGCTCGGTTTTTAGAAATAGTAGCGGAGAATCGTATAAATAATTTTTCAGATGATGTACTAAGACGCATTGTGAACACTACTTTAAATAGTGATAACATTGAGTTAAAAATAAAACTGGCCGAAACATTGATTGCTTTTACCAAACACAGACAACTCAGTGCTGAATATTTGAAATATGTAGAGGAGCTTTGGTCACATGAAGAGCTACAGGAGTACACATTAAAAATAATCATAAACGTTACAGCTTTGAACCCTGAGCATGCTAACGAGCTATCGAAAGAGTTCTTTGAAAAAACACTTTTTGTTTTTAGTTATAATGGTAAGGTGGGTATTAAGATAAGTATATGTAAGCTTTTTGCGGGAATTTCAAATAGTATATCTTATGAAATATTGCAAGTATTATTAGCAGCTTTAGATAAAGAGCCAGTAGTTAAAGTCAAGCATGAAGTAGTGAAAAGTTTGAAAAATTATATTTTTCATTGTAAAAAAGAATCGTTAAGTTCTGAATTACTGCAAGGGTTAGCTAAAGCGTTTTGCATAGCTACAGCAAATAACAATCCTATTGCAAGTGAATTAGATTTTGCGAAAGAATTAATAAACACTATTTCTTTATTGTGTAAAAAAAATCCCGATATGTTGTCTTCAGACCTTATTATAAAATGTGCTATATTGTTAGAAAAGTGTTTTGATGAAGAACTTCGCAAGGACGCCAAGGCCATTTTGTTTAAAGTAAGAAATGAACGCATTTTCAACGAAATGGTAAAAAAAACTATTAGAGTTGAAGAGAAGGTAAATACATTGCAAATAAGAATACTTTCAAAAGAAAGAGTCTATGAACTCATCAAGCAAGTAGAAAAAGAAGAATTGTTTACAATAAATTATGTCGAAACACTCTCAATTAAAGCAAAAGTCAGAGATGGTGCACACGAAGAAGCGCTAAAGGGGCTGCAAAAAGCTACCAATTCAGGCAAAATAGTTGGTATAAATGTAATAAACAATCTTAATGAATTACTTGATCTAAATCCGAAGTACGTTGCCCAAATTTTATCCGATATAAGTATACAGAACGGTGAAAATTTACCAAACAGAGTGAAAGAGAACGTTGAAAAAAATTGGAAAGATCGGAAAGATGATAAAGTATTTTTAAACTTATTCATAGATTTGCTGTCCAAACATTACATTCCTGATTCTTCATGTACAAACTGCTTGCTTGAATTAGTGACTAATGCTGACTGCCATATTGCTAAAACAGCGATTTTAGGACTGAGTTATATATCGCAAAAACATTTTATTGGTCAATACTTAACGTTAGAAAATATTAAATTGTTAATTAGGAAATTAGCAGATATTTATTATAAAGACGTTGAGAGAAGTATAATAAATATAATAAGTTTTTGTCCGAAAGCATTATTGAACAGTGAGATTAACAAAGAGTTTGATAAAATAAATGATCTGAAGGCACTTGAAGCATCATTTTCCACCCTTAAACATGATGAAAACGAAAACAAAACAAAAATCTTACAAGATATAACAAAGTACGACGGCCATATTTTGAATAGTACTTTTAGTATTTTACAGAAAGTTCTTGCTGTGGAAGATGCCGAAAATCATTCTAATATTTTAATCACTCTTGCAATTCTTAAGCAAGCAGCTGAAATTAAAATAGTATTTCCCCAGAGTATTATACAAGCAATTTTTAACTTTGTCTTAGAAGATTTTTTTCGAGAACCAGCTTTAAGTATTCTGTTAGAATTATGCAGCTATAACCAAGAAATTTTTGAACTTTTGCATAGAGATGAAGATAAACTTGACGTCATCAAATACATTACACAGAGTCATAGTTCTAAAGAAGTAAAAGCCATCGCTGCTAAGATTTTACAATTTTATTTGCTCAAAAAAGGACTAGAAAGAAAGTACTCAGTCTTTGAAAAAGTTTATGACTGGGAAAGTATACTTTATTTATATAAAAACAAAAAAGAAAGTCCTAAGAGTTTAGGAAAGCATGATAAACACAAAAAAGAAATATTATTTGAATTTTGGTTAAAAAAAGTTGATAAAAATTTTAATTTAGATTTAGTTCAAAGAAATCAACTTCTTTTTTTTTTCAATATAGAACATGTTTATGTACAAGTCTTAGCTTTAAAAGAGAAAGAGAAAAATATTTGTTTTGATACTATTGTGAAAATTTGGATAATTTCTAGAATTTCTTCTCAGCTCCCGTCAATGGAAATTGAGGATAATCACCAAACAATAAGCTTTTTATGTAGCTTTATACGTCAGGTACCACGTTCAGAATCCAATCATGAAAAAGAAGTGACAGAAAACACACCAGGAGTACAACTCTCTAGTCGGTCTGTTGAAGAACTAAAATTTATTGACCATATACTAACCGCTGTCTCTTATCAGAAGGTATCTGCAATAGCAAGTTTTGTTAAACTAGTCGAAAAATTAAATCTTCCCTTTGCAACAATATCAAGAATGTTAAATTATCAAGGTGATCATAATAAGGTAGAACTTAGTAAGTTGCATGACATTATTGCAGAAATAAATCTTATTAATATACCACAAAGAGATTTAGATGAACTTGAAAAAATTGGTTGGGATAGAAAGACAATCTTATTTCTTAAAGTGGCGATGAGTGAAAAGACTGGTGATGGTACAGATACTGAATTAGTTAAAATATTAACTAGCTTGTACAACAATAATATTGACGTTACATATAAACATAAAGTTTTAGAAATTATTCAAGAAGAGTTTAAAGGCGAATGGATAAAAAAATTAAACAATTTTATTTGCAAAAAGCAATTTGAAAACAATACGAGTGAACTTAATACGGATGAGCTGATAAAAGAATTTTTTAATTTAAACGGTTCACCTTTATCTAGAACCAGCAAAGAATTGTCCAATTTTTTTTTTAAAGTTCTTTCAAACGGAAACATTTTTAAACAAAGTGAGTTTTTCTCACTCCTAATACAAAATAACTGTCCCATACAAAAATGGAAAAAAGAAACAATACTGTCTTGGGCTAAGCTATTGAAAGGGTACAAAAAAATGGCAAACGACTGTGATTTTCTTTCCGAGATGTTAGCTGTTATTAACAGAGCTGTTATTTTACATACTACTGTTGGTGATTGCGAAGGTTACGAGCTAAGAAAAGCTCAAGTTCTTAGCATTTTATCCTTACTCGTTACACAAACACATAAAAAAGGGAAAAATATTTTTGGAAGGTTAGCTCAAATTTCTACAGGTGAAGGGAAATCGCTTATTATTTCTGCACTAGCAGTAATTAAAGCTTTGCGTGGAGGAACTATTGATATTATCAGTAGTTCACCATTGTTAGCAAAAAGAGATGCCATGCACTTTCAATCCTTTTATGAAATGTTTGACATAGATTGTGCTGACAATAGTGGAGATGATTATTTTGGAGTGGGACCAAAGCCATGTTATTCTAAAAAGATAGTTTATGGAGATACAAGTAACTTTCAATATGATCTTTTAGCAGAAACTTTTAGCTCAAATTTGTTTTACTTGGCTGGAAATTGTAATGAGATTGGAGTTAGATACGGAAGAAAATTTGAATGTGCTATAGTCGATGAGGTTGATAATATGTTTATTGACCAAGAATCCAACATTGCAATGATTTCTTATCCGTTTCCAGGTATGAGTTATCTTGAAACAATTTTTGTAACAATTTGGTCTTTTGTTGATAAAGCTGGAGTAACCAAATCAAGAGACAATGAGTTTATACCAAAGTTAAAAGTAAAAATACAAAATAAAATTAAGAAAAAAGAAATAATTGTTCCTCGACATTTGGTAGATTTTGTTGAACACAAAATTGACGTATGGATTGAGAATGCTATCAAAGCAAAGTATTTATACAATCAAGGATGTGAGTACCGAATAGTCAACGAAGAAATTAAGTTGGTAGACTGCAATAACACCGGTATAACTTGTCAAAATACAAGATGGGAAAACGGTTTACATCAATTTTTGGAAATAAAGCATCGCCTAAAAATCCATTCAGAAAGTTTGGTAACAAATTACTGTACAAATGCGGCCTATTTTAAGCGTTACGAAAACATTTTAGGTTTAACTGGTACTCTTGGTTCAAAGAGAGCGCAAGATTTTTTATCAAATCTGTATGGGGTTGATTTCATTAAGATTCCTCGCTATAAAATGCAACAGTTGAAGAAGTACCCGGCTAAAGTATGCAACACAGAAGTCAATTGGCTCGGTAAAATTAAAGATAGTACGCTACTCGAATTATTAAAAGATAGAGCCGTTCTTATAATTTGTGCAACTGAAACAGCTGCAAATAACGTTGAAAAAATAATTGCAAAAGAAAAATTGGATAGATTTAGCATTAAAAAATATACAACTAGCGATAGTGAACATAATTCTGTTATTGATGATATAATGAAGCCTGGCGAAGTTATTATAGCAACAAATTTAGCCGGAAGAGGGACTGACCTAAAAATATCTGACCAAGTTAAACTCAATGGGGGTTTGCATGTTTGTATTACTTTTCTTCCAATGAACCTTAGAGTTGAGGAACAAGCTTTTGGTAGAACGGCAAGAGAAGGAAAACCTGGCACAGCGGAACTTATAATAACTGGAGAATCAAGTTATGAAGAGCTAAGAAAAACTAGGGATTGTGCAGAAATTAACACTTTAAATTACGATGAATTTACTGTTAAAGTTATTAATGATATTAAACAAAACTTGTTTGATAAGTATTGCGATTTTCGTAAAGATTTAATTAAAGAAGAAAACAGCCTTAAAGGTAATGCCCTTGATAAAATAATGTCAAATTGTTTTTCATCAACTAAATGCAGTGAAGAGGATATAGCTAACAATTTGTTCAAAGAGAATAAATGGCAAATTAAGTTGTTTTACAAACTTAAAGCCCTTGACGAAAAATGGGGATTGTGGCTGGCAAAACAAAAAGAGTTTGATCAAGATAGCGAAGACAAATACATTATTTTTGTTAATAAAATTAAAACAGAATTTAAAGATGATTCAATACTGAATAATCCAGCTCATCTGTTAGGTTATGCCAATGAACTGATTAAATTTTTTAACAATTGGCGAGGTAAAACTGATGTGTTTAAATATTGGAATGACCTTAATAAGGAAATAATCGAGACTTTGAAGCAGGTAATCAAATTAGATCCAGATTTATCATTTTATGCTCACTACCACATTGTTAGCCAAAACTTTAAAATAGTCAGCAAAAATTGGACTGAGAAAGGACGCAAATTGCAACATGCTGATATAGAAGAAGCAATAAATCATCTGACAGAATCAAAACAACTTATTGAGAATATTGAAATTTCGCGGCTTTACAAGCATATAGAGCTATATAAACAGTGTTCACTTATATACAAAGAAAAAGACTCAACTTTACCAGACAAACAGGAAGAAGTAAGTAAATTGTTTATGCAAGCAAATGAAACGTTAACTGTTTGGCAAAATTGGTTAAATAACATCAATGACAACCTCAAAGCAATTAAAGACTCAATAAAGTTAATAGATGTAATTGTCGAACGAGTTGATAAGTGGGAGTCGATAAGTGGGAATTGTGTAGACGGAGTCGATAAGTGGGAGTCGATAAGTGATTGTCGTGTAGTGGGAGGTTGTGAACAAGTGGGAGTCAGTAGTAATAATAAGCAAATATGTAAATTAACAAACATTAAAGAAGTGCAACTGCGACAATCTTCTTTGAAAGGACAAGCGGCTTCGCCTTGGTCAACTCCTTGTATAGATAAACAATTTTCAGACGAAATGACGGAAAAATCTGACAAAGACTTAAATATTAGGTATGGGCTTAATATAAAACAAACTATTCTTTTTTTAAACGAACTACCTTCTGATAGTGTGGTCTCTTTACAATTTCATAACTTACGAGAAATCAGAGATATGCATTTATACAAAATAAGATCTGACTTTACTAATGTGTTAGAAAATGTTTTCAAAGAAAAAAGTTCTGAACAAATACAAATTGATGTTAATTTTAAGAAAATTAGCATAAGTAAAGCAATTAAACTGCTTCCTCAACAAAGAATATACTCTATTAAAGCAGAAAAAAGCACCGATCAACGCCATTGGATACTCCAGAAAGCTGGTAATAGTTCTAAGAAGGTCAATATATTGTATCATACTCTGGGGAACGCACTTGAAAACTGGTGCCATGACTTGCAAGGTGTTGAAACTATAGCTCTAAATTTAACATTTTCTAATCTAATAAAATTGCCAGAGAAATTATATGAAGAAATTTTGTCTAAAATAAAAGTTACGTTAACTGAAAGTGAAACGCTTGTTAAAGTGGATAAAAAAATGATCATAAAAAAAGTATCTCAAGTTAATGCTATTAAGATTTTGAATTACCTGAAATCTAAAGAAGAGTTTTCCTGCATCGAGGTAGATTTATGTTTTACGGAAATAGTGCAAGAGGGACTACCGAAACGACAAGCAGAGCAGATAATTTACCTTAACATGAAGTACATAAAAAATGCCATAATTTCACTTAAAAACTTACCTCAGTCTCATGCATTAAGTCTAGTCAAAAAATTGAAAATAAAAGAAGAAACTTTTGCAAGGCCAAAATATTTTGAGATGGAAAAATATTTACTGCCAGCAACTAATCAGGATGAAATATCTGAATTTAAAATAAATGAAATTAGATATATATTTACTCTTAGTGAGTCAGTTCCGTTTAAAACAGCTACATTTGCTGTACTTTTTCTTCTTATAGCAATCCAAGTCATAGGTGGCAAAGTTCTTGGGTCCACTGGCATAGGTATTCCTTTTGCTGCCCATTTAGTTTCCGAAGGATTTTCAGATATTTTACAGTTGATTCAGATCTTCACAGGCACTTTTTCATGGACAACTTATGCGCTTATCAAAGCAGCAGGGCTAGGATGCCATATAATTGGTGAATCACTCACCGCATTACAAACAGCAAACGCAAATATTAACGCCACAAATAATGTTGGAGCAATAACCCAGATCGGGAGTAAATTTGGTGATGATGCTGCTAGTAGTGCTTCAATTTGGACAAAAATATTAAGTAAATTAAAGACTTCTTTACCCAGTTTTGGCTCAAAAGTCCTCATTGCAACTTGTAATCAAGTTATTCAAAACGGTACACAACATTATCTAAAGTCAATACAAGAAACAAAGCAGGAAAAACTGAAAGCTGAAGTAGAAAAAGAATTATTTAATTTTTTAGAAGAAAATAAATCCCTCCTGACTAGAATTTTTGCAAAAAATGCAATGTTGCCCTCAAAAAATATTAGCTACACTTTGGAAAAAGAATTAGAAAAAGTTCCTACAACCGTTAGTAAAGATTTTCAATTGCAAGTAAAAAAAATATTGGAAACAATTGACCATATGTATAATTGTGAAGAGGTTTTAAATGAAAAAATTAATCCAAACAACAAATACTTAATTAGACAAGAAATTCAAAACATTGTCAAATTTTATAAGGAAAAGGGATTTATTGTTTCCGGTGAGTTTAATCCGTACATAAAGCAAACAGAGCTTACTATATCAACTACTCTTGAGAAGAGAGAAGTAGAAGGGGTTATCAAAGACATTTGTGATAACTTGATGGCCGATTATAGCACGGAAATATATGAATTCAGTAAAGAAGCAATTTGGCAACTTGTTAATAATAAGTGCAACAAATTATCAAATGATAAGGATCAGTTGTTGGCCGCTTTGAATGTGGCATGCTCATTAGTGGAACTTTTCTCAAAACACAATGCCGAATTATTTTTTTCTGCCAACAAAGCTCTGTTAGATAAACATCCTGCCTTTTTAAAGCATATTAAAATATTACTAGCAACTAAAACTCCTAAGGATTGTATAGAAAAAGTTCAAAATATAAGACAAAAATATAAGTTCATCAAAACCGGTACTAAAACTTTGGTGAGATTGGGATATGAAAACCTTGTTCTTTCTGATCATATTGCAAAAATCTTTGATTTATTAGATTACCAATCAAAAGATTCTGAACCAAGAGTTGCCTATCAAGCTAAAAATTCAGGTGATCTTGATTACGTTTGCAAAAAAGATCTACAAAATCAAAGTTTTATTCTAATTGAACAAGTTTTTTCTCACTCAGAACATATTTTAGTACAGCTTACTAATGAAGATGGGAGTATTATTACCTACCTTCCAAAAATAGCTACGGTGATTCTCTCATACTTTCCTTTTGTATTTTCTAATTTTAAAATTTATCTCAGTTATTTTACGGACAAATCTTTATATATAGACCAAAAGGTTATTTTAAAGCTTGTGAAAGATGGTACACTATGGGAGTCATTTTTTAAATTAAGTACAAAACTTTCAAACTTTTTTCAAGTACTGCAAAAATTCATAGATTTGGAACAGCTTAAAGAAAACGGATTTCTAGATGAAGAAGGATTAACTTTGATAAATAGTGCAGTATCAAACCCAATGATGTTTAAAAAATTACATTTCTTATTAGCTAATCATTTTTTTGATTGTGAGCAACAAGATTGGTATGAAATTAATTCGTTAGCTTTAGATTTACTTGAAAAAATTAAATCAATGAAAAAAAATTCTGAGCATTATTTTATTTCGAAAAAAGGCATTTTCGAGCAGCGCTTTTTTTTAAAATATTACAGTTCCACTTCACAGCAGTTAGAACTAAACTTTAATATTCCCGATCATATTGACCCTATTATAAATAATATTAACCTTATATATAAAATTTTTCAAAGTTATACTAAAGGAAGAATGTTAAAAGCTCTGGTCAAATTCATTGAATTTTTACAATTAGAACCTAAATTTTGTAACTATATAGCTGCTACACCTCATATTATATCTAATATATTAAATATTCTCCGATATTTTAAAGAGTTTGTAGATGTATGCGTAGACGAAGATGTAAATAATGATGTATACGTAAATGAAAATGAAGATAGAGATTTTTAAGTAGAAGAAGATGTAGATGAAATGTATTCGTAGATGTGTTTTTGATAGGTGAATATAATTTTAAGAATATAATTTTGAAAACTTAAAAAATAAACCTTTTTTATTATGTACTTTTTTCTTTTTTATTTGAAATATAATTTTTTTTTAATTATTTTTCTTAAATAAAGATTTCAAAAGACAGTGTTTAAAGAAAATGGAAATGACAACACTTCATTGCTATATACTTATAGAACCCCATGTAAAATTTTAATAATAGTATTGATGTATTAATTGTATTAATGATTTTTTGCAATGATTCGCAGATGACTCCAGCTGTTTTTGTTCCAATAAAGATATCATAACATATTAACTAAAATAAAATAAAATAAATAAACTAAATAAAGATTTAAAACTAGTTAACAAAGAACTACATAGTGTAAAAGAAGTTCAAATGTATATATAGTGTACACGTGGTTCAAATGTATAAATTTGAAAAAGTTCAAAGAGAGTTTGTTATAACAAGCTCTCTTTTAATAAGACTGCATTCAATCTATTTCATAAACGAGATAATACTTAAGATCTCCTTCTAAACTAATCGATCTCTTAACAAACATTGATGATTTAAAAAACATATTATAAACTTCCTAAGTGTGGTTTTTAATTAAAATTTGCCAAGGAAGTTCCAAAATAATCTAGAAAGAATACTCTCAAAAAATATTTCACTATTTTATAGATAAAAACTTTTACTTAATATTGTCTATAAACAGTTAATCTATTTGGTTAATACTAAGGTTTTAAAATGAACGAATATTAAATTTTACCGGAAATATTTTAATTTGATCGAATAAATTGGTGGTAGATCTTAAAAATAAAAGAGAAATGTGTGTATGAGATAATAAAATAATGAAGCAATCAGTATCTTTTTTTATCCAAGTTTATGCATCATCAAAAATCTTCCTAGTATACCGTCTACCACTTTTTTACCACCGTCCAACCAAACTTTTTTAAGATTGACACCCTTGTGTTTAAAAACGTCCAAAAAATTAATGATTTTAATTCACTTTCAGTCATTAATTGGAACAAGATGTGTATAACTTTAATGTTTTAGTGAGTTTATTTTGGTACTCGAATAAAATAAAAAATTCGAATCACAACTTCCTATTGTTCTATTGAAGCGAATGCAATAGTTCAATTGTCTTGATTTATGCAAAAATAGATCTATTGTCTTTCTAGATCTAACTTTCTAGATCTTATGCGCTCTTTCTCCCTCTTCCCATTAATTACTCAACTACCCAGAATTACTCCAAAATCGAAAACACTCTTTATAATATTCATAATATAACACTCCTGATAATATACTTGTAAACTTTTACACTCCAAATACTAAATCAGGCAACCTAACAGTATCCCTTGCTGACCATCTTATTCAGTTCATATCCTTTCCATTCAAGAGCTTAAAATAGCCTCATCCCGAAGTATATCGTAGATGTTTTAAAAATTTTGGTGAAAAAAAGTTTTTTAAAGACCTAAAAGAAACTGATTGGTTTTCAATAAACCAACAAGGCAACTATTGTGTAAATAACTCTACTTCTAAGTTTTCGGATACAATTAAACGATTACTTGGTAATCATTCCCCTTTCAAAATGTCTACCAAAAAAGCTAATAAATCTTTAACAAAGCCATGGATTACTAATGGAATTATTACGTCAATCATTACGTCAATCATTACGTCAATATAAATTAAAAATAAGTTGCACAAGAAGTTTATAAATTGTAAAAATCAGAATTTAAAGTTACAATACTTTCAAAAATTCAAATATTATAGAAATAAGATTAGTAACCTACTGTGATACTCAAAAAAAAAAACTTTAATGAAAATCTAAATAACCTTAAAAACACCTGGAAAGGAATAAGGAGTATTATTTCTATTAAATCAAAGAACAACAATAGTGTAGATAGTTTAAATAATAATAATAAAACTATAAATAACAAGTAAATAATTACAAACACATTTTATGATTACTTCTCTTTGATTGCAGATGATCTTGTTTAAAGAAATGTTCCTAGGTCCTAACCTCCTAGATTTCACTTTAGCCACTATCTAATAAGCCAAAATCTTGATTCTTTTTTTATATCTTCAGTTACTTTTCAAGAAATAAACACATATATCTCTCTCATGAATCCAAAAAAAGCACTGGATCCAATAGCATTCCTTAAAAAAAAAACAATCTTAGCATCTCAAGAATTGAGCTTTCCTCTTGACTATTATTATAAATCAATTTTTTCTATCAGGGATATTTCCTGACTTATTCAATTATTCATTATGGGGAAAGGGGAATTGCTCTGAACTGAATCATATCTAAACCATTTTTAACAAAGACTACATAAATGATTTAAACACTTGTACTAAATATTCAAAAGTGTATCGTTTCGATGATGACACAAACCTCCTGATGGTAAAAAAGTTTTTAATAAAGTTAAATAAGTACCTGAATTATGACCTGGCATCACTGGTTCAATGGTTGCGATCAAACAAAATATCTTTGAATGTCAAAAAAACTGAATTAGTTCTATTTAAACCTCAAGGCAAAAAAATTACTAAAAAACTCTTTTTAAGAATTAGTGGTCAAAAACTAAATATTGTAGATAAAATAAGATATCTACCCATATTGTTAGATGAAAATCTTTTTTGTTCATTCAAAAAATTAAATTCATATTAAACAAAATAAGTCGAGCAAATAGAATACTTATCAAAATATAGCATTTTATAAATTACGAAACCCTTTTGAATATTTAGCATGCTATTTTTAACTCCAATCGACGCTTTTTTTGTCAAATATGGGGACAAAGTTTATCCATTTATAAAAAAAACCTTTTGAATCTCCAGAATAAATCATTAAGAATAACTCACTTTCAACCTAACAGTTTTAGTTCTGACATACTGTATAAATTTTTCTAAAATTTTAAAGCTTGAAAAAATTATCTACTTATCAAACTGTGTACTTGTATGGGACATTATTTACAATAACATGCCCAGCTGCTTTACTAGCTATTTTAAATTCACAAATGATATTCATAGTTATAAACTTAGATATGTATCCACAACACATAAAAATATAAAACCTATAAAATAGAAATAAAAATATAAAACTCATAAATTGAAAACTAAAAAAAATTCGAAAAATATATAAATGTTAATTTAGTCGCAATCAAATACCTTCAATTTCATCATCCTGTAAAGTTTGTATAGGCCCAACGTTTTTGGCATTGTTATTAAACCATGTAATATGTAATAAGTATACAATAAACTATCTATGCAATCGCCACCGCCTAATTCTAAAAACAATTTTTTTTTAATTTTTTCTTTACTTTAATGCATATTCAATATTTCTATTTCTTTCTAAAATATATCTATTTCCTTCTAAAATATTTCTATTTCCTTCTAAAATATTTCTATTTCCTTCTAAAATACAATATATACAATCATCCGGGACATTTACAAACAGTTATAAACTGATGACGTGTAAAGAACAATAATGGTATAAATTATAGCATAATAATAATAAATAATAATAATAAATGCTAATAATAATAATATTATTAATGATGCTAAAAACAGTGATGAAACAGTATGATCTTTATATATTTTACTATTGTGATTAAAATAAAACATTTGTGGCAAATGATGGTCATTGATGATAATGCAAAAAAAGTATATATATATATATATATATATATATATATATATATATATATATATATATATATATATATATATATATATATATATATATATATATATATATATATATATATATATATATATATATATATATATATATATATATATATATATATATGTACAAAAATTATAATAATATCAATAACAAAAAAATATAACAGACAAAAAGAATGAAGAGATGTTTAGCGACTAGTAAAGAAGAGTCGAAGAAGGAGTCCTAGAAGAGTTTCGTTATGTACCAGAATTTTTTAAGCATTGCTTAAAAAACTCTGGTACATAACAATGCTTGAAAAATTTTGGTACATAGCAAAACTCTTCTAAGACTTCTTCTTCGACTCTCCTTTACTAGTCGTTAAAGATCTCTCTATTCTTTTTATCTGTTATATTTTTTTGTTATTGATATTACTTTGATTTTTATGTTGTTGTTTTTTTTTTTTGCATTATTATTAATGATCACTATTTGCTACAAATATTTTATTTTAATTATAGTAGTAAAATATATATAAATAATACTATTTTATTGCTGTATTAAGTATTATTAATAATATTATTATTTTTAATATTTATTACTATTATTATTATTTATTATTATTATTTATTATTATTATGCTATAATTTATACCATTATTGGTCTTTACACGTCATCAGTTTATAACTGTTTGTAAATGTCCCGCACGATTGTATATATATACAATATTATTAGAGTGAGAATATATTGATTTGATTTTGATTTGTCTGCATTCTAAATTTAGATCTTCAATATAACTTAAATTTGAAGTTATCGAAGATAATTTCAAATCTTTGTGCAGGAAGTGTAAATCACTTGGATATTCCGACCTTTTGGACTTTGAGTCGAAGTTTCATAATTAATGCATAGATACTTATTGCAGGGTAAAATGGCCTGAGAAATCACAAATCATACTAAGCTAGATATATTTATATGTCAGGTCAGACTATCCCGCTACTGGTAACATCTAATCTAGTACAGCCTGATTGATGTCCTGCTGCTTTGTAGGATACGCTTTTTTAGCAAAGGCTAGGAGACTAGAAGAAGAACAACAATGTTTGATCCATTGCTTGACATTTATATTACTCCAGCTTCTGTATATAAATTGATTTCCTGATAAGGCTCTTCTACAGCTTGTGGTCTGGATAACATACCTGTTATTGCCTTGCAGAAGTGTTTTCCGGAGCTGTTGTCTATACTTTCAAAACTAATTAATAAATGCTTGTCAGAGTCTTGTTTTCCATCCTGCTTGAAAGCAGCGTCTGTTGTCCCTATTTTCAAAATTTCTGGAGAGCAATCCGATTCGTCTAACTACTGTCCCGTTAGTCTTCTTACTATCATAAGCAAGGTGTTTGAGTCTCTAATTAGCAAACAATTAATTTCTTATCTTGAATCTAATAACTTTCTGATCATCGATAGTGATTTTGATCTTCTCGTTCAACTGCTGATTTTTGAATTATAATAACCGATAGATTTTATCGTGCATTAGATAAATGCGGTGAGGCTAAGGTCATTGCTCTCAACATTACTAAAGTCTTTGATAAAGTTTGGCATTCTGGTCTTCTCCATAAGCTTTCG